GTCCGCCAGTGGTAACATTGCTGAGACGAACACTCCGACGGTCCGACAGCCTGCCACCAGCGGTAAACGATAGTGGCATACCACCTAGTCACAGATTGGTGGCTTGCGTGTAGGGTTACAGATACATGTAGCCATTTCAGCTGTAAAATGATGAGACCTTGCCACCAATCTTGTACTGCACTTAAATTGATAAAGTCTAGGTGCCACAGAGAATTGTTCATCGGAACAATTCCAATGAAAGTATTTACAGAAAAGGTGAAGGTAAGCTACGTTATGCCGGTGGGAAAGTGACTGGAGCCGAAATGCTAGGTCAGGACCAATATCATTGAAGATTCTTCTTTGTATTTTATCAAAATCTCTAAATATATAGCAGGAGCACCAGACCATATATGGCAACAATATTCAAATCAAGGCAACATCTGAAACTAATTTGTCACCTTAGAGATGAAAAGAACTTTGTCTCAAAAAGATAGAACTAGGCAGGGACCTTGACAAAACAAGCTCTACCTTCCCACTTAGTGAAAATAGCACTCACAATGTCATGGCGGAATTTCTGGAAAATATGAAAATTGAGATTTTGTAGAATGAGGAGCCCCGTCTCTCAGATTCAGGTGTGGAAACGAAATCCTTGCACCGGCCCTGGTTAAAATGTAACGTTTTTGAAAGGTTTTTTGTAATGTTGCAGAAACATTATAGCAACGCCATTTTGTTCATTGGGTGTCATTGCTTGTAACCGATGTTTAGTTTAAATCTCATACTATATATCTGAATAAATCCATCCGATTATTCCTCCTCACTGACTGTGAAACCTTTTTTCTAATTTCCATACAAACTGGCACTAATTTTCTGCAAAAAAACTAAATCGTTAAAACAACATTTAACAACAGTATGCAATGAATTAATGATACGGCTCGATGTTAAACTGTGAAGTGATTCTTTTTTTAACTGTCGACAAATTCACTAGCATACAAAAACAAAGGTGTGTGCGGCGCATGCGCGTGTGTGTAGGCTTGTTTTCCTATTTGTGACTGATGAATTTTTAGTATGAGCATCTCTTTCTCTCTCTCTCTCTGCGTGTGTGTGTCCGTTCTAATTAACCCCTTCATATGTGAATCACTCTTTAAGTGAACTGCATGATAAAAAAATATTTTAATTACCGTGTGATTCGTTGCAATGCAAACTATTCAATAATTGTATCAAGCATTCGCCACAATTCGATGACTAAGCTAACGCAATGGAGGCCATATTCAGGAGAAAACAACAAACATCGGAAAAAGGTCTTCTTTTTTTTTTTAATTACTCTTGCTTCTTTTATTCATTTATTTTATTTTATTTTTCAAAACTTGAGCAACGTGAAGAAGAATTTTTTCAGTTGCATCCATATGCGATTAATTATACATGACGTAGCAGGACTGACTAATCGATAACTTAGTGTTACCTAAATTTCACACTTGTTCTCACTTATTTCTTCCTTCCTTGCTGCTGGCACACCATGAAAACCAATAGCTCCTCTGTTGTCCCAGCCCAAGTTTGCGAAATAATTTGCATACAAACGATCTTTTAGTAAAGAAATCTGTGATTTTTATCTCTTCTTTGATGAGAATTTTACGACTTATCAACCTTTTGCAGGTTATTTATAGCCAGAAAATATTTTTAGAATACAAGAATCTTTTGGACATAATAATGATTTATACTGATACAAGTTCTACTAATTAACCCATAGCTAGGGGGAATAGGCGGATTCTAATGTATTTGCGCGTAAGTGAATATAACGAACCCAACTGGAATTGGAACAAGACTCTCCGATAAAAAATTCCGAGTCGTCATCCATTAATTAATCCGTACATCAAAGCTTACAGCAACTTGTATTCCCAAACAATCACCCATTTAGGTATTGACCAGACTCGACGTTGCTTAACTTTTTTTTTAATTTGTGGGATGAGGGGTTATTTAATTACGTTATTTACAATTATTATTTTCCTTCTTCTTTGTTATTGTTATCATAACGCTTCGACCGTTGTTCACTTCGGCATTCATCAGGAGCATGTTGATCTAGGTTGCTTTCTCGTTCCACTTCCCATGGAATATCTCGTTTAGTACTTATTTTATTACTGCTCAGTTATTACTCGCTATGTCCATAAACTCTGTCTGGACACTGCCCTACCAAAGGATTGAACTCAGAAATACTGTGTGAACAATTTCACGGACCTACCACTAGGCTATTGTCCCGTAGGACAATTCTCAGTGGATAACTTGGATCCTTCAACCTAAACTGACTTCTAAAGATTACTACTCCTTGTTGTCAATGCCAACAGCCGAAACGTTCAGTCTGATTATTTGTTTTGTTTCTTTATGGCTTATCAACCTTTTGCAGGTTATTTAAAGCCCCAAAACATTTCTAGAATTAATGGATATTTTTAGATAATAATTAGTCCTACTACACATAACTGGTAGTGGGGTACTCATGGATTCGTATCTTTTCACAAGAGTGAATATAATGAACCCGTCAAGAATTGGAAATCGACCCTCCGATTTTCATTTCCGGTATTCATTACACCACTGCTACATCCAAGTTGTCACCCATCCAGGCACTGACCAGGCTAGACGGTACTTAACTTCGGTGATCGTACTAGAATCGGCGCCGGAACATTGTAATTACAACAGCTAAGATGTAAATAGTATAAATAAAGAATGTAGACATTCAGTCAATTTGCATGCTTGTAAAATCTAGAAAGCTAAAACTGTTTATATAACAAATCAATTCTTAGTTTATTGATAAAGGCTGTTCCAATAACTTGGACCGATTTTAAATGTGAATTAAGTTTGAGCGTTTTATGATTTTCTACTTTTTCTTTCAGATTTAACAACTTAATCTTTGGCAATTTCAACCATGGAAAGATTAACAATCAAACAACGTATTAAAGTTATCTAAACCTATTACGAAAATGGATGTTCAAACAGAAATGCAAGAACTTCCCAGGTCATATCATCTCTCGAAACAGCGAACTCAACTGGCCACCACGATCGTTGTCTAGACGCCTTTAGATTTCTTCTTTTGGGGTCATCTCAAAAATAAGGTCTATGCCAACAAGCCAACAACAATTCAACAGCTGAAGGATGAGATAATAAGGCATATTGGTGAGATCGAAGAGCAACTATGCAGGGACATCATCAAAAATTTTGACCATCGAGTGGAGGTGTGCCGCCGAAACCTTGACGGACATTTGTGCGATATTATTTTTCACAAATAATTGCCATGACTTAAATAACATGATCCAATAGAGAAATAAATAAATTTTCACCAATAACACTGATTTATTTACTGCTGACTTTGATCCGTTTTAATGAAACACCCTTTATAAGGTGAAATTGCTGGCGGTCAGTGTAACTTCTAAAAACATTTAGATAAATCTAAAACGTAAATATGAATATTAGAAAGTTAACAACAGTTTTATTCCATATTTACTTCTACTTTTTCTTCTATCTGCCGTGTCTATTCAGGACGTTGCCGATCATGGCTCTTCACCATTTCCTCTCCTTTGTAGCTCTTGGTAAATTTTGTCTTTTTACTGTATCTCTTAATCCCTATTCTGTCAAGTATTTACACACCCTCTTTAGGTAGGATATGCGCCTCTTTCATCTATCCTTCTTGGCTTCAATATATTCTGTGAGTGTCGAATTTTCTAATCCCTCTTTCCTCATTATGTTCCCTAGAAATTCCATGTGTCTCTTTCTGATTTGTATAAGTAACCTTTGTGTTTACATTTTCCTTAAAGCTTTGTCGTTGCTCACATGTTAAGTCCATGGTATTCTCAGCAGCCTTCTGTAGAATCCAATTTTTCTTGCCTCAACTCTTCACTTTATCTGCGATAAATTTGTACATCATTCACTGCCATATGGAAGGATATATATTACATAGCAGTTAAGAACTTGTTTTCCTGTTTCTTAATACTGTGCATAGCTTCCTGGAAGACATCTTTCTTTATCCCAGTGGGACTTATGATTATTTTCTGCTCTTTTTTAAAACACCTCATAGAAACGGGTGATATTCTGGGTAAGAATTAATCTTCTTTTTGGTGCCGTCTCCGTATAAGACAATTATGGCTCTCCTCAACTTCCTGCCCCCTGTAGCTCTAAACAACGTTTGACGTTTAAATGTCTTTTTGTCCCCGTTCTGTCGTTTATTTAACCACACTCGTTACTTGTGTTGCTCTATGCCCCTCTCGGTACGTTTTGTAGGTATTAAGTTTTCCAAGCCGTCCTTCCTTTTAATGTGTCCCAGAGATTCCAACTGCCTCTTTCTGATTTTAAGTGTAAATGTCCTCGTTCTCTTTAGAACTTTCTTATTGCTCATGTGTTCTGTTAATTGTATCTGAAGTGTCATAAATCGATTTAAGTCTTTTCTTCATCAATATTATTTTCATTTTTGGAAAAGCCTTTCTTTCGAAGCCGATTTTACGTACACATTTTCAATTCTAAGTAGAAATTTTCCTTTTCTTCCTATTTTAATGAAACTTTGTTCTATTTATTTGCACAGGTTCCTTAGGTACAGTAATTTCCAGTAGTGGGGCAGACGATGTAAATGCGCCCTCCATATCAGGAGGGCATCCAATCAAAGAGTGAAATAAAAATTTAGTTTTTGAAATCTGAAATTCTCCCTGTTAACTACGTTGTACAAGAGCCCTATAATCGCTGGTGTGAATATGGATCAGTGTTTTAATAAGTGAGAACGGACTAACACCACCTACCTACTTGAAACTTAGGGGCATATAATTAAGTAGTTAGCCCCGGGCATCAACAAACCTTTGTATTTCACAGGTTAGTTCGGTTACCCACTGTTTTTATATACCACTATGGCCTTCAATATACCATGTGAGCAGTGGTAGCCTCCTATCTGATCGCGCGAACCGATTCTTAAAATTATAAAAGCTTAGCATGACGGTTGCTGGATTATCCGAAAATAATCCTATATATTAATAGCCGATGCCCTAGGTAAAATGTTAGTGGTCTAGGTAAATGTTACCGCGCGCCTCCCCAGTACATATAAACAACAGTCGGAGAGGAAGAAGAAGAAAAAGTAAAAGAAATACATCGATAGATAACGGTAGTTTTTGTAAAAAAAATAGGCAAAAGAGAGTTGTCCAAAAACTATTGACGTCAGACGGCAACAAATTCACTGAAAAGTGGTTAACATATCAGACTCCCTTTGATGAACCTTTGAACTATTCAGTGACCGCCTCTTACTTTCTTGCTTGCTTTCACGATTTACACATTTTTACTAAAGATTTACTCGTATTTTTAATACAAACCCAAAAACGGTTACACTATTTACATTATTCGGACTATTGTCCTCATCTCTCTCACCATGTTTATCACAACGTTTCGGCCGTTGTACGCTCCGGCCTTCTTCAGGTGGTTGGAATGTCGAACCGAACCCTTGAGATCATAGACAACGAACACCATTGGAAAATTCGTAAACTTAAGGAATCAGCACATATGCTAGGCATAAAAATCTCCTGAGCCGACCAAGCATAAAAATGAATACAATATGGGAACCAGTAATAAGGAGTGTCAGAGAAAAGCGATAATAACAACAAAAGTTGCAATACGACCTCTGGTAAAAAAAAAAAAACAAAAAAAAAACATGCAATGATAACAGCAAAAATTGCAATATGAGCACTGGTAAAAAAATGTTTGCTGAAGACATTAGGTTTATAAGACCCATAAATTCATACACAAGGACACATGGCACAGTGGATAAAGGCATTAGTTAGATCCAGTGACAGGATTCAAAGAGTGTGAGTTCAATACCTGGTTAAGGCGGTGGAGAACTTTGAGAGGGGAATTAACAGGAGATAACTGATAACTGACATCCATTAGACATGGCACGTGGAACTAGAACAGTCTACCCCATCGAGTGAAATAAAGGGTTCAGTTGAAGAAACGTTGTGATAAACATGGCGACAGAGATTCGGACAATAATGTAAATAATGTACATAATACCTCATCTCAGAAATATAGACAGATACTGAAGTGCTGAAACGTTGTATTAAATATGGCGACAGAGATTCGGACAATAGTCTAAATAATGTACATAATACCTTATCTCAGAAATATAGACAGATACTGAATGGCCGAAACGTTGTAATTAAAATGGCGACAAAGATGAGGACAATAGTCTGAATAATGTAAATAGTGTACATAATATCTCATCTCAGAAATATAGACAGATTCAAAAACACTTTATTAAGAATCCACGCCAAATTTCTATATCACGTATTAAAAAGAAAATAAGTTCTTAAATGTTAATTGCCTTTATAGAACCGATTACTGAAAATTAAGGATGTTATTATTGTATAAGAGTGTTAAATTATCTAAACCGTCTGTATTCAGAAATTAAATTCTATACATCGTATCTGTATTCCAGAAAGTTTAAATCATTCTGGTATCAAATGACTCCTTTTAGTTCACTTTATAAAAACGTTACTCGTTACTCATATGTTTCGCCCATAATATTGTTAGTATCCATCGCTTCGCTTTTCTGTCGCTTTGATTTTTCTTTCGTCTTCTGTGAAGAAATGGATCAGAATTCAGTGCGATGTCTGTGGACTGATATCACAAATATGTTCATCACTTTTCATTGTTTCTGACGCAAATTTCTTTTTCTTTTTATGTGACATCTCCTTTCAGGACGTAGGCGATCATGGCTCTCCACTTCTCCCTATCCCTTGCAGCTCTCAACAAGTTCCTTCCCTCTGTTTCCTCCCCCAGACCACCTTCTGTCATCCACTTGCTTAAGTCCGCCAGGTATGTCACGCATTGTTTTCCCTTGCCTCTCTTTCCCTCTATTCGACCCGTGAGTATCAGATTCTCCAGGCCCTCTTTCCTCATTATGTATCCCAGATATTTCAGCTGCCTCTTCCTGATATTAAGTATAAGTATTGTTTGCGACCTCTCTAAGACCTCGTCGTTGCTGATACGCTCGGTCCATGATATCCTTAGCATCCTTCTGTAGAACCACATCACTATCACTTCGAGTCTCTTCTTCATCTTTGAGGAAATCGTCCAACATTCGCTGCCGTAAAGAAGGACAGATGTCATGTATCTTTTCCTTGTTACCAAAGAAATCCTCCTGTCTCGCAATACTCCAGCTTTTGGAATGTGTCCTTGGCCATCCCAATACGTCTACGGATCTCAGTGTCGCACTTACGGTCCTCTGTCAAAACGCTTCCCAGATATTTAAACTTCCGCATCTGCTTGATTCTAGTGTTGCCGACCTGCAAATCGCATTTCGGGCTCATCCTTTTACTGATGACCATGCACTCCTTCTTCTTGTAGTTTATGCTTAGTCCTTTCTTCTCACTCTCTGACACTACCTTCTGTAGGAGATTTTGTAATTTCATTTCTGTGTTTGCTATCAGCACTGTGTCATCTGTGTATCTTAACGTAGATTTTCAGTCTATGAGATCCGTATGCGAATCTCAATACTGGGTTGATTTGTCAGGGTGATGACTTTGATTTTATCGGACTGGGAAGGCGATCACAGCGTGCGGAAAGTACTTGTTAACCATACTACCGTTTGACCCAAGCCTTGTGACCAAACTGCATAGAATGGAACTATTCAGAAGCCGTAGATGGATGTGCTAATCACCAAGTTACAAGTCTAACACTCGTTGTCTTTTCTTTGGCGATATATCAACCAATATGAGCGATTTAATCCTGAAATTTAAATATACAAAATCCATAAAATTAATTCAAGAGAATGACATTATTTCATGATTAAATTATAATTACTTAGCTGCATTTTTTTACAAACAATCTTACAAGATCAAATAAAGTATGAAAACCTGTTTCTCCTAACAAGAAATTGGATTAATCAAAGCAATTTTCTTTTCACATTGCTTGCCATGTCTTCTGTTTTACTATAAAATGTGTTGATTGTCATTTTTTAAAAAATGTATTGTTAATTTTGCTATAAAACTGTATTGCTTGCATTTTTTAAATAAAAATGTAATTTTATACTTTCTTAATGTTTTCTTTTTATTTTTATTTTTGTTTGATATTCACAATTTAACCATAAATAGTACCCTAACACATGCTACCCACCCTGGGGGGCAACCACAATTAAGAGGTGGTTCCACGTTCTTCAAAATCTTCTGGACCCGAAACTTTGGCACCCCACAAAAAAAGAAAAACAATGAAAATCATTAAATCTAACAAAAATAAAAGATAGACACAGTACTAAACAGATAAATTATGGACGAAAACTTAATTTTGAGCATAATTTTATCATTATTCTTCTTTGGTCCCATGATACCTTATTTAATAATTTATAAAACACAAAACAACACACACGCGCGCGCGCGCACACACACACACACACACACACTAACTTATAACTATTACTATAAACCTTCTGTAGGAGATTTTTCATTTCCGTGTTTGCTATCTGTACTGTTTCAATTGCGTATGTTATGTTGTTAAAATTGTGGCTGCCAATCACGGTAGGATTTCCAGTTCTCTCAGGATGGCCTCGCTGTATAGGATAAAGAGGTCCGGTGAGAAGACGCATCCTTGCCTTACGCCCCTTTCTATATTTGTATATTCACTGAACTCGTTCCCAATGCGCATGCATGCTGTTTGCTGACAATATAGGTTCTTGATTATTCTGATATCTTTCCCGAATATATCGAGGTTGCTGAGCAGTTCCATCAGATTCTTGTGGCGTACTTTGTCAAAGGCCTTTGCGTAGTCTATGAAACATAGGTATACGTCCTTCTGCGTCTGTATCGCTCTTTCTGATAACATTCTGAGCATGAATATCACGTTCCTTGTTCGCAAATGTAAAGTTTCTGACTCAAATTTAAAGTTATTGAAAGGGCTAATTCAGTACCTCTTCGGATTTCAGTGTTGCATCGTGTATGACAATACTACTCAGTATTTCACATTGAAACACCGGCCCCGATGCAATCACCGAAGTTAAAAGATTGTGTTCAGCGGCAGGAGCCGAACCCATGTCCCCGTCTGTAGGACAAACCAAAGTTTAATCTGCTGGGCGTTACTGCTAGGCTACGAAGACAGTCGAACCTACGGCTACATTACGTTGAATCACAGTTCCCATACAATCACTGAAGTTAAACAACGTCAAGCCTGGTCACTATATAGATGGGTGACTGCGTAAGGAAACCAGGTGATGCAATGGATAATGGCTCGGAATTGTTAATTGCAGAGTCAATGTTATTTTTAGTGGATACGCGTATTTCAGTAGACACTTTTTTCTTAACAGTATAATTGTCGTCTACCGGCATGGATATTCGAGAGTCTTGAATAAGGCTTTGGAAAACGTATTTAATAAGAAACAATGACGTTGTTTTATTCATTTGGTACAAATGCCCTTGTATCAGTAAAATCGCAGTGAAGACCGGGCTCTCTAGCCTTGAATGGCAACCAATCTAAGAGAAAATAACTCTGAACTCAACGCCGGGAAGAAAACGGGAGGCTAATCTTGATTTTAATAAAATTAACATAGCATTACAAAAATAAAGATGACATACCACTTCACACAAAGTAAAGAAAAGGAATATGTGGAGATTGACTACATCCTGAATCAAACATTACATTATTTTTCATTAAATGCAATGTTCCGCATTTGCAGAATTGCCGTCTTTTTTTCTTTTTTTTTAAACGACATTCACCCGGGGTGGGTTGAGCCGGCTCCAATATTGGAGTTTCATGGGAATTTGGAATTCACAAGCGGTCCCCATCCACATGTATAGCACATGAGATTTGATTATAGTGGTGAAGGTTTCGTGCAGGACCATCCACACTTTTTGAAGGGCCGAATACAGAGACCTGGTGCACTACGTGCCACAAGGTCCCTAAACGACCCTTCGCAGGTTTTGAATTCAGAGTTGTCCTTCTCCTAGACCAGTTGCCATCCAAGGCTATAGAATCCAGTCTGTCCTGCTATTTACCCATAGCTGGAGGGAGAAAAAGAGGTATCAGCACGTAAGTGAATGTAATGAATTCGACTGGAATTCGAACTCGGCTCTTCGATTCCTCAATCCAAGCCGCTATCCATTACTCCACCGTGCCTCTAGAATTGTCGTCTGCGTTTAATTTAATCCCTCAAGGCCGACAGCAACATCGAGCCTGATTAGTAAATTGACGGTATTCGAATTCCTGTCGTTTTCGTCACACTTAGGCGGAAATACTCTTTGGAAATGTATGAATCCATATCTTCTCCCCTATCTATTGGTTAAATATTAGAGATTGTATCTGGAAATAGAAAAAAATACGATATTCATTCGCAAAAAAAAAAAAATTATTCTGACATTCGAAAATATGTTTTGGCTTTAAATAACCTACAAAAGGTTGATAAACTGTAAAAAGTCAATCAATCAAAAATCAATCAAGGCCGACTGCAGTCGCATGTTCCCTGAGCTTCTAACAACCTAATCTTTGATGAATGTCTAGTCCCAGGGGTTCCAACACTGTGGCAGCACCTTCTTTGTTAAAAAGGGAAAGGTTGATGAACAGATAGATAGAGAGACAGATACAGAGAGAGAGAGGGGGTGGAGAAATGCACGCATATAGAGAGAGAGTGGGGATAGAACTTAGATTGATATAAACAGAAATAAATAAATCAAACAAGAAAGTAACAAACAAAATGGGATAGATAGAGAGAGAACTTACATCGATATAAACAGAAAGAAAGAAAGAAAGAAAGAAAGAAAGAAAGAAAGAAAGAAAGAAAGAAAGAAAGAAAACAATGCAAGAAAGAAAGAAAGAAAGAAACAAAATGGGATAGAGAGAGAGAGGGAGAGAGAGAAATTACATCGATTTAAACAGAAAGAAAGAAAGAAAGAAAGAAAGAAAGAAAGAAAGAAAGAAAGAAAAGAAAGAAAAAAAAGAAAGAAAGAAAAAAATGGGATAGAGAAAGAAAGAAAGAGAAAAATGGGAAAGAAAGAAAGAAAGAAAGAAAGAAAGAAAGAAAGAAAGAAAGAAAAGAAAAAACAATGCAAGAAAGAAAAAAGAAAAGAAAAAAAAAATGGGATAGAGAGAAAGAGAGAAAAAATCGATTTAAACAGAAAGAAAGAAAGAAAAAAGAAAGAAAGAAAGAAAGAAAGAAAGAATGAATGAAAGAAAGAAAGAAAGAAAGAAAGAAAGAAAGAAAGAAAGAAAGAAAGAAAGAAAGAAAGAAAACCATGCAAGAAAGAAAGAAACAAACAAAATGGGATAGAGAGGGAGAGGGAGAGAGAGAACTTACATCAATATAAACAGAAAGAAAGAAACCATGCAAGAAAGAAACAAAATGGTATAGATAGATAGATAGATAGATAGATAGATAGATAGATAGATAGATAGATAGATAACAGACTTAGATTGATATAAACAGATTTAAACAGAAAGAAAGAAAAAAAGAAAGAAACCAAGCAAGGAAGAAAAAAAGAAACAAAAATGGATCGATAGTTCGATTACTCTATAAGAGACTGAGATTGATATAAACAGATTTATAAAGAAAGAAAGAAAGAAAGAAAGAAAGAAAGAAAGAAAGAAAAAGAAACCAACCAAGCAAGAAAGATAGAAACAAAATGGGATAGATTGAGAATTAACAGATTGATATTAACAGACTTAAACAGAAAGAAAGATAGATATCAGACGAAGATAGAGACGAAGAAATTGAGAACACTGATAGATGCGAATTGACTATTTTAACTAACCCGAGTGAAATCGAATTAGAGATTTAGATTTGATAAAAATAAAAATAAATAGACTATACGTGTTTCTTTGGTTCGTGACCTCGTTTTCAGGTTTTTTGTTCCTAGCACACGGTAAGGATTGAACCAGCACTTGGAGAACTGTGAGAGAAGAACGCAAGTCATTGCACAAGAAGCAGACGATTCTGATTAAAAACGTATTTTGAAAAGCCAGACTTTCTGTCATTTTCCTTCCTCTATTATTCGTCCACGACCCTAACCTCTTTTCCCCTAATCTTTGTTCTCTTCCTTCCTTTCTCTCTTTCTTCTTTTCTTCCTTTTATTCTGTTCCTTTCTTCTTCTTTTTTTTCTCTCTTCTCTTTTGGCCGATTTACTCGGCTGATCTTGTCCGGCACACACACACACAAACGCGCGTGCGCATACGAAATAGCGACCATCTTATTTCTATTCGTCAGCTATAAATATATTCAATAATGGCTCCTCAATAGTTACACACACACACGCATATATATATATATATATATATATATATATATATATATATATATATATATATATATATATATGTCTCTGTGTGTGTGCGCGTGTGTGTGTGTGACTGTACATGTCCCTATCGCCAACAGATCCGCACGAATAAACTATACAAAGACAAGCAGGCATGCTTAAATATAAAATGACGAATGCTTTCTGAAAAGATTATTACATAAAAATCGATGTCTTGCACAATTTTCCTTGAAGTCATTATCTCTGCCTCTTTTTTTTTTTTCGTTCGTTTTTCTCCCCATTTTATTTCTATTTTTACATTTCATCTTTTCTCTTTATTGTTTTATTTTTCATTTTCTATTTTCCCCCTTTTCCTTCAGTAGGCTTTTACTTCAAATGTTGTCGATACAGTTGCATTAGTTCATTATAATTACTCTGATGACTGGAAACTCAGAGAGTCTTTTCAGGAAAAAAAAATTCTAAGAGAATTGGAATATTTTTTTAATGGATAGACCTTTTACAGTGCGACATTTTTGTTATCTAAACCAAAGACGGGCCTTCTTGCTATTAATGCCCACGAATCTAGTCAAGATATTTAAAGCACACACACACACAAACACACACGCACATACAGAGAGAGACAGACAGACACACACAAGCATATATATATATATATATATATATATATTCCATAACCTTGTGTTATTCAAAATATGTAACACATAAGCCGATCCTAATCCAAAATAATTGAAATGCGAATTTGCATATATATATGTACACACAGACAAACAGACACACACACACGCGCATACACACACACACATACACACACACACGCACACACACACACACACACACACACACACATATATATATATATATATATATATATATATATATATCAATAAAAAGATTTAAACCTCCTAATCACCTTTCGTTTATTAAACATTGAATTGTACAACCTCATGCCCATAAACTTGCCTGATTATATATATATATATATATATATATATATATATATATATATATGTGTGTGTGTGTGTGTGTGTGTGTGTGTGTGTGTGTGTTTAAAAAATATGAAAAACTGAAAGTTTGTTTTTTTGTGACGCGTTTTATCCGTTAGATTGCATCACAAAAAAAAATTGTCATATTTTTCTAAGTACTGATAAATAATACTAAAATTAAAAAGAATTATATATCGTTTCTATAATATATATATATATATATATATATATATATATATATATATATATATATATAACTTTCGTTTATTTGACATTGAATTATATGTCGTCATGTTGACGCATTTGCCTGATATATATATATATATATATATATATATATATATATATATATATATATATATATATATCGACTCTCGCCTCGAATTCGACGTATGAAGTTCAATCAGATCAGTTCCTAGGAAACCGACAGCCCTACAACTGCACATGAGATTTGATTATAGTGCTGAAGGTTTCGTGCAGGACCATCCACACTTTTTGGAGGGCCGAATACAGAGTGCCACAAGGTTCCCAAACGACCCTCCGCAGGTTTTGAATTCAGAGTTGTCCTTCTCTTAGACCAGTTGTCATCCAAAGCTATAGAACCCAGTCTGTCCTGCTATTTACCCAAAGCTGGGAGGAGAGAAAAAGAGGATTTACACCTTTCCCAGAGGTATTAGCACGTAAGTGAATGTAATGAATTTGACTGGAATTTGAAATCGGCTGTTTTGAACAATAAAAAAATATTGAGAAATAAAAATTAAAATTTAAAGACACACTTGTTTGTATATTAAAATTTTTTGTTTTATTATTTCTATTAGATTCCTCAACTAGTTTCGACCAACACAGCCCATCAGAAGAAGAAAATAATTCTGCTTGTTAGTCGTGGTGAACTACAGGAACGAATAACTTTCTGAAGAAAATGAACTTTATCTATAGTTTTCATTTGTTTTTTATCGTTAATTTTGGTCAGTCCTTGAGTTGATCAAACGGCCCTTTTAAGTTGTTTTTTAAGATAATTGCTGAATAGATTTATGCTACTCTGAACACACACACACACACACACACACACACACATATATATATATATATATATATATATATATATATATATATATATATATAGGATAAAAGAGTGGCACCTTTTTTTTTCAATTACCACGCAGATCATATAATTAAAGACAGACACAGTTATTTCAGCTGTAACTAAACTTTTAAGTTAAGTGAACTTTATGATCAAGAGCTATTCTGGATGTCATTTCAATTTAAGGAATTAACGTAAAAAAATTAAAATTGTAAAATGTTACGTTTTACACCCGCCGGTGGGGCAAAAAGTAACAGAGGATGGGAAGCAATATAACATGGTCGGGTAAACAGTAACAGTTAGAATTAGGACAATGAAAACACCTGATACCTGATTTACGCTTCAAATCCAATTTTATTTAACCTTAAGAAATAAAGGCTGGGTCAACAGTATTTGTTTTTATCTTATTTTCTTCATCTATAATCATCCTCGGACATCCAGATTTCATTACTGATCCAGTTTTTCCCTTTAAATTCATCTCTTATACGATAAATCATTTACGATTATTCAGAATAGCTGCAAAAACTAAAAAGCCACGTCAGTATACAAATAATTCAACAACTGAATACGTGCTTTTGACCCACCCTATCTCTCAACAACAACCCGTACAGAAATAGTACGTCACTTTCCAAATATTTTTGGAACTTAAAAGAAGTTAGCAAAACCCCTACGGTAAAATGGAAAATATTTAAAAAACAAAAAAAAAGAAATTTATAAATCTTTAAATGAAACATGTTTCCTATGTTTACAGGAAACATTCAAATAATCAAATTTCCTACAAAAAAGCTCTGTTAAACTAAAGGAGTGAATTAACAGTAAACTGCAGACACAGTCCATCTTTTACCTTAAAATACAATTTATTTTTTTTTATAAATAACAATTACGTATTACAATTTTGTAGCCATAATTTTATTAGTATATAATAGTCTACCCTCTACGGGTAATTATCTTATTTGGTTTATTCAACTTAAATATTGTTATGTTTTGCCGTCTATTCGGTATACAATTTTTTACGGTGTGATAACTGAAAAAAAACTGGAAATACTGTTTAAAACCAGAACCTCCTAAAGACTGGAAATTTTACCAAGAAACTTCGATGTCGGGATAAATTTGATATTTAAAAGTTAAGTAATCTTTTTATATAATATTATTAACGTTCTATTTTTATTAGTATTTTAATATTTTTAATATTGGCCACTATATATAAAAATATCTGCTTTATCTTAAATCTTAAAACTTATATATATATATATATATATATATATATATATATATATATATATATATAGGCGCGCGTGTGTGTGTGTCTATGTGTGTGGGGGTGTGATAGAGGCCAGAAAAGATTTAATAAGGAGATAGCGTGATTTTTATTGTCCAGGCCTCCCCAATATTTACCTGGCACATGAGATAACCATTACCCAACGTGGGCTTACTGAGGCGAGTTTAAAGCCCCTGTGCTGCAATTGGAGCTATGATTCTCCTCATTTTCGTTGGGATAAGTTGCTTACCCCCGGTAATTTCAACCTTGCGGCAGCACCTTCCCTTTGCGCTAAAGGGTTTGGGTTGGTGTAATACCGATGCTAGCCTGACAGTGGCCACGGGAGCAGGGCAAAAATCAATTCTTTTTTGTTTTTGGCCCATATGCATAAGTATGTGTATGGCGCTCACCAAGTTAAAATGACCTTGTGTCACACACAGATTTGGCGGAGGGGTCGGTACCTGACAGCCTCAATAAAATAGAATGTGACAAAAGTTCTTTTTTTTTTATTTGGGATGCCCATATACTTACATATGCGTCAAACACTACCCCAAGTTACGCTGGAGAACACCGGCCCGACCTTCCTTTGTGTCATAAGGTGCAGCTGCGGGGTTGGTACCTCCGGGACATGGCGCCTCCTGACGTCTAAAATGAGGAGAATTGATACTAAGTTTTGATCCTAGTTCTGTACGGATTGTTGTTAAGAGATAGGGTGGGTCAAAAGCACGTATTCAGTTGTTGAATTATTTGTATACTGACGTGGCTTTTTAGTTTTTACAGCTATTCTGAATAATCGTAAATAATTTATCGGATAAGAAATGTGTTCTTTCCAAAAATGAAGTTTCTAAAGTGTCGGTCGATAATCTCCGATCTTTCCTAAACATCTCGGCTTGAACTTATGAAAATAAATTCTAAAGAAAATGGGTTTCTTTTTTGTATTTTTAAATAAATCATTTATGAACCAACCATTCATGGCATTGAATACTGCTGCCATATTCTGGTGCGAAGCTCCTATTATATATTTTGAGATTCTTGACAAAATCCATAGATGATCTGTAATGTAATCACTCCTGACCAGGCTTCTCGAATTCAGTCACTTTCTCACCGACGTGTCGTGGCTTCCCTCTGTCTTTCTACGAATATTTTCATGGTTAGTGTTCTGATGAGCTTTTTCCCTGGTGTCTGAATTTAAGCGTGATACTAGATTGGCAACTAGGTCCCACTGTTTTACTTCTGATCTAGCTACTTCTACTCTAACGGTTTCTTTTCTCGCCCATCTCACCTGTGGAACTCCATTCCGATTTCTTGCTTCTTTGATAACTACATTCATAAAACATGT